CCCCAAAACCCCAAAACCCCACAATATAAAATAATTGCATAAGCAGTAAAGCAATTTTTCAATAAATTAAAATCTGAATTTGTCTAATTAATGTTTGAGTTGAATAAATATTTCTCATTTCTTATTATTAGAATGAAGCATTTTCATTACTAATAAGCCCACTTCTTATAAAGTTTGATTGCCCCCATTGGCCTCAAGTTAATCATGAATCCATTCAATAGCATTTTCATATTATTTTTATTCTAATCTTTTAAGTTTACTCAGCATAAATACTAAGTTTATGATAACCTCAATAGAACTATCCTAGACGTTCCTGAGTTAAATATACATCCTGTAACATTCCTCAGAATACTCTTAAATTTTTAGATGATTAGTGGCACATTCAAGCATCAGAGACAAACTGAATAAAGCCTTTGCAAAAAGATTAGGGTGACTCAAAACAAAAGCATTCTTAAGTATGTGAAGAGTTGGGAAAATAAAATAATCGCTCTACTAATGAAAGTTATTTTTTTAGCCTTATGGTATTTTTGCTCGGCTTAGGCTACGTTTTAGTGTTCCAAGAACTTACATTGGCTAATCGAACATTGATGGTGTTTAAAAGAATTCGTTTTCTTATTTTTGCTGTTCTACTATATACATCCTTTATTATTCTAAAAATTCCTAAGGTGCTTAATCATTAGCTAATTCTAAGGCAGCATTTCCAAGGACTTCTACAAGAAGGAGCTTCTCTCCTAAACTGGCCTCAGAATCTGCAACGCGATTTGCTATCAAAATACTTATCTATTTTGGTATTCTTTCAACTAGTGCTTAGATAGCTTTATACTTTTTTAGAGGAAAGTCATCTGTGTCATATCTATTTTACATCCTGAATAATAATTGAATCAAGTCATTACTCATAATATCTAGGTCATTTAATTTTTAATTTCTTATAAGGGATTCTGCAGTATCTAGAGATATATTGAATCTATCAAAATTTTCAGATTACAGTCCAAATATCAAATCTTAAAGAAACAATGGTGCCTTGATTGGTTTTAAATCAGAATAGTCGTCATTTTATTCTTCATATTTTACATCAAAATCTGATTCATTGTCCGAATCTTACTCATTATAAAATTCTTAATTATCTAGCTAAGCCTCATTATCTATTTAAATTCCATTTGACTTGATCTAAAATTTAGGTTCTCCCTAGTCGGTTTAATCGATTTTTACATCTAATGCTTTGCTCATTTATGACTCCTATTTTTTCAAAATTTTGAAAACCTCCTCAGGATCCACATCTAATTCTATATCATCATCCTCATCTCTTTCTATCTATAATCCTTAAATTTCAATATACGTTTTCCATATTAATATCCCATGCTAGTACAATTCAGGATTTGTCTGTACTCTTTCTATTCTTGATTATATACCATCCCTTATTAAATTTCCAATTTCATCGTCATTTTCATCCAATATTATACTTTTATAATTGCTATTAATCAATGTATTATATGCCAAATAGGTAACAAAAGCCTATTAGGTTATTGTCCCAACTCTAACTAAAGCATCTAAGTTCCAAAATCTAAATAATCTCCTCAAAATATCTCTCTAGATATCTTTTATTTGTATTTATTATAATATTGCAAGAATAGAATTGGCCAGATTTATTGTAGGAAATTTATTTTGAATCAGTTATTTGTCAATTTATTAAACAGTAGATCGATCAATTATCAAATCATTCCCAACTTTATCAAGAAACTGACTATCAATTCCCTAAGATATAATCTTAACAATATATTGATCCTTATACAATGATGAATTCATATGAGTCACAAATTTATTATCAGATTTGGCATCCAAAAATGAATCGATCAAATTATTAATGGCTATTAAATTCATCAATTCCACAAAATCAACATTTAAGTCTAAAAGCATCTCATAATGAGCTATGAAAGTTCTTATAATTTATGAGTAAAACACTTTATCTATCAATTAGAGAGGACATGATTCTATATAATTTAAAGCTATAGACTTAAATTTGAAAATTCTAGCTATATTCTCACTATTCTCAATTGATCTTTATTCTTTAATAATCTATAATGCCCAGTCATCTTACTGAAGCATATCTATACAAATATCAGTAATCAATTATTTTATTAATGGAATGTCTTTATGAACTTTCTCAATCATAATATATCTAACCAAAGTAAATATATCACTTGTTCTTTATCTTGATATTTATGCTTTAAGTACTTCTAAAAGCTCTTTTAATTATATCGACTTGCTAAAATTTTTCAAGGCTTTGATTATGATGTATTAAATCGAATCAATATTTAGCAAAGTTTTTTCTAGATATTCTGATAAATCTTGAATATTTTTGTATTTTTAAATTTCAAAGTCTAAATGCTGCAACTCCATTTTTAAATTGTTATTATATTTTTAATTTATATTATAATTAGAAGGTGAATTAATGTTTTTAATATACTCGAATGGGGTTTTGGGGTTTTGGGGTTTTGGGG